AGCTTTTCCATTTTCCATTATATTAGAAGAATGTCTTTACCTTCTTTGCACAAACCAAAGTCTGCTATCCTGACAAAACCATCAGCATCCATCAGCAGATTATCCAGCTTCAGATCCCTGAGACACAAACAGACACGATGATGATGATGATGATGATGATGATGATGATGATGGAAACACTCAGCTCCGACTGAAAGCTGTCCTGAGGAGTCACCTGTAAACGATGTGGTTCTGATGGAGGAACTCCAGACCGAGCAGCACGCAGGAGGAGTAGAACCTTTACACGAGAACAGACAAACCTTTATTTTACAGAATAAACAAGAGAGACCGGATCAGACCGGATATATAAAGGACGTGTTCTCACCGTGCTTGTTTGTCCGTGAAGATGCTGGTGTGAATGTGCGTCATGAGGTCTCCTCCTGAAGAGTACGCCATCACAAAGCACACGTGGTCGGAGGTCTGGAAGCAGCCGTACAGGTTGACCAGGAACGGATGTTGAGACGTGTTGATGACTTCGAAGATTCTCTTCTCACACATGAGGCTGAAAACAAACAGAGCTGGTTTCTCACCGCGCTGTTTAAACACGATGAAGAACGAAGCAGCGGAGAGAAGAATTGACTCTTCGAGTTGGTTAAGTCGCAGAGACACTTCTTACCTGTCGACCTCGTCTCGTGTCACAATGTCGCCCTTCTTCAGGGCTTTGATGGCGAACAGTTTCCCTGACTTCTTATACTCTGCCAGCAGCACCTTCGATCAGCCACAACGAGAAGGAGAATATTTAACACTGGGACACTTTGTTTCTAGGACACAATCACGATCGGCAGGAAACTATGTCCTGACCCTCGACGCCACCCGGAGGCTCCGAACCCTCATGTCTCCGAGTGTTGTTTACCTTTCCAAAGTGACCTCGTCCCAGGACGGAAATACAGTTGAAGTCGTGCATCTGCAGCGCTTCATCTCGCCTGCAGGGGAAAACAAGAGGCACAAATATTAAATAGTGCGGATTCACATTTTCACAACTTGTCTCCTGTGACGAGGAGTTTAGATTCTTCTTCTGCCCAAAACACTAAAACATTCTTTCTACATAAAAACTTTGATGCAACGCTGTGGATGTTAGAATCCGTCTCTTCTCATGAATATTATAAATATTTTAGAGATTATAAATATTTTGTTTTTGAATCGTTTAGTTATTCTGCTATTTCCTAAAAATCTGTTTGTGTCTTTGTTCGAATCCTGTTGTGTTCGTATGAACTAACTCCAAAAAACAAAACGGCAGAGAAAGCAGAGAACTTCTTACTGAGGAGGAAGATGGACGGACGCTTGTCTGTTCGGCTTCGGACTCTTGTTTTCACGTGGAGACTTTTTTTCACCAGATAAACAGACACATCAGCAGATGAATGAAACAAACTCACTGTCTCACAGGTTTAATTAGACATTTGCACTTGATATAAATATTCCTGAACATCAGCTACTCGTGTCACTGAACCGTGAGTTTCTTACCAGCAGAGAATCTTTAATGTTCCTTCTCGAGCGATGTGGAGATCGTCCAGGTTGATCTTCAACAAAGTTTAGATTCTTGACGGCAGCTTCTCTGAAGAAAACAAAAACACACAGAGGTCTGTAAATAAAACTTGAAATATCTCAGACGTCAATAATCGGATTCTAAAAACAGTCATGATGCTCTGCACCTTCTCTCTAACCTCAGTCAGTGGGTTAAACTACGTGAAGACTCTAATAGCTCACTTTTCAAAATGTGTTTTCATAGACGAGACAAAGAGACGTCTCAGAGGAACCTTACTGCGACTGAGGAGCGGGGGAGGGGCCGGAGTGAGGGCCCGCTAACGGAGGACTCATGGGATCCAGGGAGCTGCAGGGAGGCAGGATGCTCATCATCAAACGGCCCCAGGTGGCAAAGTTCATGTTCATCTGAGCGGCACGCAGGAAGTCCTTCCCTGTGGACGGAAAGACGGAATGAACGGGTAGATTCATATAAATATCTAGTGAATTGAAATGTGCTCCCATAGTTTTATTGGGTTATTCAGCCGCTGCACGAAGACAGAGCTTCAAACCTGTAACGAGCTGAGATCATGAGAGTTCAGAGAGAAAATGAGGTTTGAGCTCTAATGTATTTGAAGATGATCAAAACTAAATGTCGTTTGTTAACGGTCGTGTAATTGATAAACACTGTGACACAATGATTTGAATCTGTTTGTGACTGGAACTCTGTGGTTCATGATATTTCTATCAACAGATCCACCGACTATCCAAATTGAACTCATAAAATGAAATATGAATAAATGAAGTTGCCTTTTTCTTTTGGGAAAATCCTCCTCTGCCTCTGGAGTTTGGAACATCGCTCGATGACGGGTTTGATAAACGTCACCTGGAAACAAACAAGATTTAAATACGATGAGTAGAAGTGTAGTTTAATTTAAACGTCATGCAGGCGTCAGAGGAAATGAAAGTGAGGACCTCGATGAAGAGGATGCCCTGAGGCTCCAGCTGCAGACACATGCCGTGTCGCTGGTTATCCAGGAAATCCTCCAACCGCAGGAACTTCACTCCGCTCAGCGCACGCCAGTCTCTCCAGTACACGGCGATCTCCAGCTCCCTGGACTGGAAGCACAAAACAAACAGATTCGTTTTTTATTTCTATATTCGACCTGTAAAAGTCACATGGACGGAGAGAAGTCCAGGACCTGAGAGGGTTTAACCCAACAGGAACTAAACCTGCCTCGTTACTCAAGGTGCAGCGTGTAGGATTTACTGTCATCTAGAGGTGACGACGGTTGAAGCATCGATATAAAAACCAGAGTCTTCAGCAGCAACGCTGTTTATGGTTCAAACCAGATTAGAGCAAATGTCAGAGGATTAGTGTCGGGATTACACGAGAAGGACGATCATGGACACACGGACCAGAAGTCGGAGCGGTTACTGTTCTCGGGCTGTTGACAGATGTTCAACATTAGAGGAGACGCTCTGATGTAAAACGTTATGAAGTCGAGGATCAGCAGAAATCAAACTAACAATTCTTGATCGATTTATCAGATTATTTTCCTGATGAATCGATTTGATGTTGAAAATGTGAGATCTTTGTTTTGATCCCTTTGATGCAAAGAAAACAAGAAACTATTCACATTTATAAAACTGATTAAACAAAGAATAAGTGAAATCTGTCATGTAAAGAATATTTTCTATCTATTTCAAATCAAATCTAGATTTTTAAAACACGTCCGTCCTCACATCAGTGAGTGGATTTAAAAACAAGCTTGTGGCTCAGATGTCATTTACGTTGCTTAGTGAAGTGAAAGTTTCTGACCCTTTCCAGTTCAATGCTGAAGCTCTGGCCCCAGGCCTCTTTACCCAGCTGTCTCCAGTGTGTGTGTCCCACGATCCTGTTGTCCACCTTCAACACAGCGCTGATCTCCGCTGAGACGCAGAGACGCAACACGGTTAATCACAGAGGCTGTGCTCGTCTGAGGTTCACATGAAGTAGAGTCAGATATATTGTTAACTGCTGTAAATACACAGAGAGACCGTCTCCAGCCGTAATAATACACGGAAAATAAATATGGATTAAATGACAGCGTGAAGAACTCCGATCGCCCCCTGGTGGCTGGCCGCAGTATAGGTCATAAACTCCATGTTAGCAGATGGGACATGGACCAAGCTCCTGAGTTAAATTAATTTGTCCAAAGATAAGTTATGACCTACACTCACCATCCACCAGGGGGCGATCCAGATGTTTTGGACTAACTTTTGAAGAGTTGTACTGACGTCCGTCTTTGTTTAGTCGTCACCACACAGTGTATTTACAGATGGTGTGAACTTACAGGACAGGTCGTCGGCCTTGGTCGTCTTTCCATTGGCACTGCGTCCTGATAGGCCGGCTCTCACCTTCAGAGACTTTCCGTCCGAGACGCTTCCAGAACCGGGCGGGACGCTGGTCACGCGGCCGCGGCCTGGAACCGACTCCAGCAGGTCCTGGCAGCCCATCAGACAAACCTCCAATCGACCTGAAACATCAGGCAAATTGTCAAATGTTGCAGAAATGAGGAATAAGAAGCGGTCGGAGTGACCAGTAAATAAAATAAGTAGATGTAGACATGAGCGGGGACCTGTTAGACTGGCCGGTTTGAAGAAGGAGGACGAGGACAGAGCGGTGGACTGTTTCTTTGGCGTGCCGTACGACAGCGAGGTTCCAGACACTAACTCCTCTTTAATGGCAGCGTGTTTGGGATGATCCTGAGGCAGCTCGCTCAGACGTGTCTCCAGGGAGAGACGCAACAGGTCCACCTTCTGAGACGACTCCTGCATTCGTGTCTGAGCCTGAGACACACACACACACACGCTGCAGGAGATCGTCCGGGTCACACTCGTTCACAATCTCCTGAACTATCATCATACACACCTCTGCCAGTATTCTTCGATCCTGGATCTTTCGCCCGCTCAGCTGCCTCACCACGTTTTTAGCCCCCTCTGCTACGGCCGACTCGATCTTCATGTGGTGCATGAGTTCAGCCACACGCAGCTCCACGGGACTGATCGTCTCCACGGCCGGACCTGATGCAGAGAAACCACCTGAGACATTACATGTTGATATGATAATAAAAACATGTCAACCTCAATGAATGGAACTCTTCTGTCTCAAAACACAAAGATTGAATCAACACTGTCCAGAGTCTGAAGTTTGAGTGTGAAGTCCCTGAACGTTTGCTCTCAGAACTCTGAGTTAATGTTTTTTTTTTTACCATTGGTTCCGTCTCGCTCTTCGTCTCTGGCCTGACTGACTTTAACAATCTGCATCCGCAGCAGCTCGATCTTGGTGCGACTGTCCTGCAACATCTGCTGAGCCGTCGACAGCATCTTCCTGTCCTGGAAAACAAAACGGACGAGTGAAGAACCTTCACCTCTGTCTGCTGCTTTTGAACTGATTCATGAAACCGACTGATACACAGAATACTAAAGAAACTGGAAGATAATCACATGCTCCTGAAATACTACTGGAGCCCAGGGAGCTGGCTGATGTTAGAATGTCTTGTAAGAAGAAAATGAAGTCACTAAAAATATAGTTTCTACATCTCAAAGCACATTTCATACACAGGCCGTAAATTATCTGCTTTATAAAGCATGACACGTTCATTTAGACGTAAGCAGAAGGTTTTGAAAACAGAAAGACATTTTAATGAAAGTGTCCCTGTGTCCTTAATGTGTTTGTTTCCTCCTCCGTCCTTTCTAACGCTTCCTGCTGTTACAGCCGTTCACAGCACGAGTGGGTGTGAAGTCAGTGCTGCGGAGAAACCACCTCCTCAGCGTGACTGTGAGTGTGTGCAACAGAAAACCCTTTGTGTCATTGCATCCTACAAAAAAACTGTTTTGAGGATGATGCGTTAAAAAAGTAAAAACATTCACAAACCAGAAAACCCACAAAAGACTGGCGAGCAAAGAGCTGCTGCACTTATGCACGCTGCCGTCTCGCCCAGTGCGTGCTGCGTCTCCTCCGTACCTTCACGGAGCTGTTGGTGTACGTGTGGATCATGTTCTCCGCGCCCTGTTTGACTTTGGTTTCCATGGTGAGCTGTTTCTTCAGAGTTCTGACTCGACCGGCCACAGGTGACATGACGTCTTCCCACTGACACGACTCTGCTGACTGAGCCTCTTCTTCTTCCAGACTTCCTGTGTAAACATTAGGACTATTTATATTGGATACTTATATATAAACTCTACAAACACACAGTGCGTCCTCTGTGTACTCACCTGTGGGGCTGTCTCTCTCTCTACCCATCGACCTGGCGTTCAGCTCCTGCAGCTCCCAGTGTAACTGGTCCAGTTTGCGGCTCGAGGCCTTGAGTTGACCCTCCACATCGGCGGCGCTCTTGCGATTGGTGACGGCCCGTCGCAGCCTCTCGGCCGCCTCCTTGATCTTCAGCTCCCGCTGGATCTCCTGCCTGAGCAGAGTACGAGCATCTTCCAGACGCTGCTGGAACTCTGGGTCCAGAATGTCCACCTCGTCCAGACCCCGCAGGTTTCCGTTCTGAGAGACACACACTACAGCTTCAGTGTCTGTGGCTTGTACAGTTAGAGATAAATAATCATAACAGACTTTATTCACTCACGAATCATTTCTATAAAAACATGTTAACACAAAGACGTGACAGTCACACATACAGATGACACTATGCCTCCCCCTTGTGGACGAGCTCAAAACTACAACAGCAACTTCATTTTCATTAGCCTCAGTTGTTCAGCCCATATCTTTGTGTGTGTGTGTGTGTGTGTGTGTGTGTGTGTGTGTATATTCTATGGTCCACACCAGTTTGTTTTACGTCCGGATTGATTTTAAATGTCTTCACATCAAATACAAACAAAAGCTATTTTTGCAAATTGCAGTTCAACCATTAAAGATTTGAAGATGTTTTTTTAAATCAGGAGAAAATGTGACTTTATTTCATAAAACTTGTTGAGCTGAAGACACAGGTTAGGTAAATAGTTACAAATGTACCTTTTTTATCTTTTAATTGGAGCCCGACTGATCTGGATGTGTGGGGCCGATGTCTGATCCCAACATATCAGTTAGTTTTAAATGTGTCGTTATCTGCACTTTAGACGAGGTTTGATATTTTACAGTTCAACCATGAAGTTTAATAAATAACTTAGATGTAAAGAAAAACAAAATATACACAACTCGAATTAAGAAAATAAATATAAACATACCTGCACATCTTTATGTTCATTATTCATATTCACTCATCGTTCATTGTGTAAAATAAGTTTTCATATCAGATCATTTAGAGATTTAGACACTGACATGAGTCTGACTGTGAGATGAAACTTCTGGTTATTCAAAGAAGTGATTTCTTTAATCACACAAACGTGTGCGACCATGTTTACATCACACCTGTGGGAAACTCACAACCGAATTAGAGGGTGCTGATGATTAGTTCTCCTGTGTGGGAACACAACAGGTTGTGTCAGTCGTGTCACACATTGTTTGTTGTCAAAGATTCAGTTTGAGCAGGAACTCTAGATCCTCTGGAGACACGCCTCCTGTCAATCAAAACCAACCTGTCCCAGGAAGAATCAAACTTTGAGAAGTTTCATTCAACACGAAGACAAATAACATGAAGATGCTCAGTCTGACAGCGACACGCTCCCTCTGCCCTCTGACCGTGGATGAGGTCACAGTCTGACCGTGGATGATGTCACAGTCTGACCGTGGATGATGTCACAGTCTGACCGTGGATGATGTCACAGTCTGACCGTGGATGATGTCACAGTCTGACCGTGGATGAGGTCACAGTTTGGTAGAAGCTGGAGGAAGTTTCAGGATAATAAGTGAAGCCATGTCGGAAGAGTTTCGGTTAAAGTGCCCGTGTGACGGACACAAACACCGGAAGTGAGAAACAAACCAGACTAACAGGAAAGTCCAGCGCGTGCGTGTTATTTAAGTCACCTGTACGTCAGTTGTTGGCAGGTGTGTGACGTCACCGGCAGGTAGAAAACAGCTTTTGAAAGAAGTTGCGTCATGAAACGTACCTGAAGAGATGGAGCGGACATGGTGGCGGTCAGGGGGACATCCGGGGGGGGGGGCTGCCCGCACTCGGTCCTCTACAGGTGGAGGAGCAGGTGACACCGGTCCGGTTAGCCTGGCTAGTTTCTCTTAGCTTCTCTTAGCTTAGCTTCTCTTAGCTTCTCTTAGCTTCTCTCAGCTTCTCTCGGTCTGTCTCGTGCTGTCGTGTGGAGCCGGAGCTCCTCTCCTCTCGTCGCTCACCTGAGCCGCAGGTGAGTGATCGTCTCGCGCAGCTCACAGACTCCGACTGAAGTTTGAATCAGACCAACTGGCACCGGCGCGACTGTGACGTCAGCGGCCAGTCAGCGCCCTGATTGGACGGCGGGGTGGTGATGACACCGAGGCGGCAGGAGCCAATCGGGTTGGATTATTGAGTTCACCTGCCGAGGTACCTGCAGCCTATAATAAAGAAGAAAGATTCTATTACTTCTTTTAAACAATAAAGAATGACTCCAAATATTCATATTATGTCTCTTTTTTACTTGTTGTGTATTATTTAAAATGAATTAAACGGAAAAACTTTATTCAACTTCATTTATGTCGAACTTTTCTCACCAATGTCAGAGAGAATGCGTAAAAACAATAACAATTGTAAATTCAAGTCAAGATGACAAAGTTATTTGAGTCTGTGTCACAGATCACAACTTGTCTCATGGGGCTGAACAGAATGTAGCTGATGTCAACCTAAACTATTATA